AATATGTCTGCACTGTCATACACACTCTTCACTGGGAACAGCATCGTTGGCTGCATGAAGGCAGAGCCACATGTGTTTTGGTTCATTATCCTATATCCATCACTTCAGTGCACTTGGCTGACCTAAAATGTCAGCCTACTAAATTTATGAAGAATTAATGAAGAGTAATAGCAGTTAACATTTTAAAAGCATGTACCATGTACTGGACATTGTTCTAAGCCCTTGCTGTGTATTAGCTCTGATCAGCTTCACAAATAGTATTGCCATCAGGTAGTATCATCACCTCAATTTTACAAACAGGAAACTAAAGCAGAGAAGTTAAGTAAGTTGCCCAAGGGTACAAGGCTAGTGACTTAGATCCAGAATTCAAAGCCAGTCTGGCTTTAGAATCTACACTAGACATGCCCAATTCATGGGCCACAGGTTGGACATGCCTGATCTACACTGCTAACCACTGCACTGGACTAGATATACAAACAAACCTAGGCACTCCAGTATTAAGGAGTCATCAACAGAGAACCCAACACCCACAAACCCAGAGGAAGCCTTCTACATGCTTTCTATGCTACAACACATACACTGCTTTTGTTTGACTTGCAGAATATTCTAAAGAAAACCACTATCTACTTTTGCCCTTACACCAGAGACCACCTGTCATTTTCAAATAGCTATGTAAACACATCTGTTTAACGAACAATTGTAGCAGGAATATCCAAGTTTATTCTCGGTGATTCTCAGCTGAAAAGATCTGAATTCTAGGGGAGGACTTTTAAAACCCTGAAGTTCCATTTCTTTTTGTAGCGGCGGGGGGGGGGGCAGTTACCGGGGATGGAACTCAGGCCAGGTTGTTGCACTTGTGAGACAGGCAGCGGAACCACTGAGCTAAATCCCCAGCCCAACATATCTCCATTTCTAGATAGATTCCAGACCTGTCAAAAGGATCAAACAAGATCATGAACGTAGTTGCCTATTTATATGGTAAGGTACTGTATGAAGATAATGTAAGATCATAATAATTAATGTACTTCAGTAAAATAATTGGAATCAAAAGTTCCATACTTACCAATGTGTACTTGTCAAAATTTCTATGCTTTTTGGTCTATACTTTTAAGAAAGTTTAGGTTTATATCTATCTCTCCATGTTTTAGTAATGATATTTAAAGCATAACAGTGGATTATTTGAGCTTCTAAATATTTCTGCTACAAGTTTAATAACTTTTTTTCTACTGTAATACAATTGCCTATTTCATTTTAGAAGCACAATGAGCTAACAACACAGTAAATCTTTTAGTCTAACTTCATATTCTCCTACATTTGCAGATGACAAACTAGCACGCAAGAGCTTCATTTTATTTTGTAGTTAAAATATTCAAAATGGTATCGTATCTCTGAAGTCCTGAGGGTGGATGTTGGATCCAAAAATGAGGCAGGCTTAGGAACACAAGCTGTGCATTTTTTTGGTACTGGGGATCGAACTCAGGACCTTGTGAGGCAGGCACGGTACCACTGAGCTACATCCCTGGCCCCTACAAGCTGTGGTTTTGTTGGTTGGAAAGTCTTATGTCTCTAAATAATTGAGAGGTAGGACAAACAGCATTCAAACTATTTGTAAATGTGATGTAAATGATGGCCCTCTCCACAATCAGAAAAGGAGAGGAGAAAGGAGGAGTGGATGAGGAGGTCAAAACCAGATAAGAACTTTCATTTTAGTCTGTTTTTTAAAGCCCTGGTTTCTATGCTACTGATTATCACTCTCCCTAAGGAAGCTAGTCATACGTAGATTTAGAGGATGGCAAACAGATGACAAAAAGATGCCTTGCACACAGAAACATGAATGTGTACACTGGGGAAATGACTATACAAATACAAACAGAATTTTTAACTTTCTACAGTCTCCATTTCTAGAAGTTTGACTGTCTCAAGCTCTCCTCCAGCACAGGATTCTCAGTACATGTGGGTGGGGATGGGTAGGAAGAGGTGGAGGGATGGGTGCTTGTGTGCTTGGTGACCCAGCCTAGAAGAAGCAGTAAAAGCAGCTTCCTGTGTGCAGGGGCTACTCCACAGAGCTTGTCCAATTCTTTTCAATGTCTTTTAATCATTAACTTCTTCCACGCTCTTGGGATTGGCCTACGCCTTAGTAGAGATTGATCTTTTTACCAAAGCCAGTGGGTTCTCCAACCAAAGTCCAAGAAGGGTCTGAGGAATCTGGAGGTTACAGGGATGGAAATAAGCAGACAGGGGGTGCTTTCCGGATGCAGAGCGGACCCTGCAATTCATTCTAGTTTCAGAGGCTCCTCCTCATGGTTGCCTGCAGTACTTCCAGGTCGAGGGTTTTGCTGGGCTCTATTTACCTGTGAGGCTGCATAGCAGGTCCAAGAAGGGTTCCCCCATCCTACTAGGAGGCTGTTTTCTCTTTTGTCCATTAAGCGCAGATGCACAGACCCTCTGGTTTGCTTCTCCTTTTGGCAGGTGTGAGGTGGCTCTCCCAGATCACACTCCAGACCAACCTGGCTCAAACCAGTGTTCCCAAAAGGGCACAACACTCACCCAGAAACTTAAAACACCTTAGTTCCCTCCAACTCTGCAGAGCCCAGTTCTTGAATGGAATTTCTGGCCTTCTAAAAACCAGAATGGTGGATTCAGCGAATCTTATTTCAGGTCACTGTGGGGCTGTTTTGCTTACCTTAGTAACTTCATTTCCAATGGTAATGGCCTTATACCAGAACGTGGGCCCACTTCATTACCACCAGCCAAGAGCCCTGGCCCTGAAATCTCCCTTCCTAAGACCTTCAATAGTCCCCCACCCTTTTCCCTGCCCTCTTCAGATATTAGTATCTTTCTCCTCCTTCTTTTTTCTCTCTTACAAACTGCAGGCACTAATTAAACCTCTTCTAGAAAACAGATTTTCGCCAGCTGCAGGAATTCTGGGTTACAGCTAGACCTGAAGAAGAG